AAAAAGACTTATAAAGAATATTCATAGCAGCTTTATTTATAATAGCAAAACAAAAACAAAAAACACTGGGAACAGCCCAACTACCAGCAGCAGAATGAATAGACAAATTGTGATATCTTTATATATTCATATGACAGAACGAATTGCCAATATAAAAACATGGGTAAATATCAAAAATGTTATGCCGAGTGAAAGAAGTCAATGAAAAGAGCGTGCCTACTATATGAGCCCAACCATATGAAATTCTGGTACTTGCAAAACTGATCTATAAAGTTAGAAACGAGGTCTGTGGCTCCCGGGGTTGGGATGTGGACAGGGGTCGATAGGGCAGGGACACGAGAGAACTTTCTGAGGTGACGGTGCTGTTATATATTTTGGTGGAGGTACGGGTTTCGCAGGGGGCTGCATCTGCCAAAACTTATCAAATAGTACACATAAGATTTGTGTATTTTACCATATGTAAATTTTACCTTAAAAAAGGGCATCCTAAGCAAATGTGGAACCGTGGGTCATAATACATTTAGGGGTGGTGTGCACGGATGTCTGTGACTGCCTTTGAAATGTGGCATAGAAATAAGAGTGATGAATGGATGGAGGGACCGATGGACAGACGGACGGACATGTGATGCAGCACATGGTGCCAAACATTATAGAATTCAGAGGGTGGATAGGAGTGTTCACTGTACAATGTTTTCAACTTTTTAGTATGTTTGAAATTTTTCTTAATTAAATATAGGGAAAAATTTTTAAAGAAGCCAAAAGACAAGCCTCTTTAATGGCTCCCCACCACCTGCAGGATGATTTCAAGCCCCTTAGCCTGCCGAGCTGTCTGTCTGCCACGCGCTGTTCTTGCACCTGATGAATTCCCGCTCATTTCCCGGAGAGGGCTAAGCTCCCCATCCCTTGAGAGATGCCTCTAAGATCGGCTCCGCCACTCTGTGTCCCTCTGCGGCCCAGCCCACGATGGCCCTCAGGCGCGACAGCCCCGTCCTGCCTTCATTGTCCTCGTCGAACCTCTGTCACCCTGCCGGCGCAGGCTAGCCCACACCGTGCTGAGTGACGCACTTCCACTCCTGCTGGATTTGGCTTCCCAAAGGCAGGCGCCTCTTTTCTTGTGTACCCCTGGCACCCCAGTAAGTGTTTGCTGAAATGAGGGGGACTAAATGGAACAGACCCTCTCATGCATGCCTCCCCGTGAAGGGAAGGGTGACACGCTTGATGAGCTCGGCTCCTGACCCTCTGGGCCACATTTGTCATGGGGTCATGGCATGCAGTGCTTTCTCCTGGACCCCAAAGGGCCCTCTGGCTGGGTAAGTGTGCTCCTAGAGGCCGTGAACTCTGTGATCTGGTCTGTGAACCCAGCTTTCCCCCAGCTGAGCTCCAAGGGGATTTCGTGAGAGGGGAGAGGACAAATAGGAAGCTTCCATTGGGCTGCAGGCCGGGTCCTCCAAGGAAGCCCTGACCTCGCCAATGCTGGTGTACTTGCCTAGGCTCTTTGTGAAGCAAGGGCTTTGCCTGATACTCCTCTGGCTCCTTGCATCTGTTCTTAGTTGGTAAAGGATCTGGGGATGGGAGGGGAGAGTGGGCCAGGGAGGGCGCCTAAAGGGATGGGTCACAGCCTTTCCATTCTTGGGGGGGTTCTCCTCAGAGATGGTCGTGGGGCAGCACCTGTTCAGTGCTCTGGCTGGAGAGTGAGCGTTCTCATCTCGGAGGTGGGGGATGGGGGAGATCTGCGCCTTCGAGACTTTCCGAGACAGTGAGGAATGGCATCCCCAGGGGTTAGCTGAGGCAGCCGGCTTCTGGACAGTTTTTTCAGTTTGACTTGACTTTGTATCCATGGATCATTTGAAGCAAGTCCTTTTCCTTCTTTATTCATTTTTAATTTTTAATTTTTTATTTTGCATTTCTGCTGCTCATCTTCTTATAATGAAAATAAATTTATAAAAAATCTAAAAGTCCCAGCAGTGGCTGCTGGAAGACTAACATACTTACGAAAGTCCTTAAACACTTGAACATCCCCCCCGCCCCCAGCAGTTCTAGATAGAATCTCCCCACCGTTCAGCGACTCTCCGTGCCCTTGGCAAATCAGATGTGTCAGGCGCTCGCTGTGAGCCCTGGGCTGTGCTGTTGTCAGAGAAGGGTAAATACGTGCCTTGCATCCCTGCCTCCCAGGAACGTGCTTGTGGCGGCCTGAAGACTGACGTGTGCGCGCGGGTCCGTGCGTTGTTGTCTTTTGCATTTGAGGATGCGCTGGATCTAGTGCTTCTGTTCACGACAGGGCACATTTAGGACTTGCTCGCGGACGAATGCCTCCTGTCCTAGCATTCCCTGTACGGACAGTGCTCGCCACAGCTGTAGGAGTTCTTCTAGCTAGGACAGTCACTGTAGTTTCTCTGGCATTCCGCATAGCGAGCTGGATGTATAGGCTTCTGTTCTCGAAGCCCGTGGCAGCATGAGCTATGCTGTTCAGGGGGATTTCTAGCACAAGAGAGGGCAACCCTGGTCTCTGGTACGTAAGCGTGGTGTATAATGTAATTGTGAACCCAGGAGGCAGGTAGGGATACCAAACGTACCGTCCTTGAAAATGAAGATCCTGCCAGCAGCGTGTGCAGTAGCTTCTTTGAGCTGTCCCTCCAGGTGTGGGACAATAGGGGCTGGTATGTTTGAAACATTTCTTATAAATTCTATGAAAGGACTCCTTTATTGTTTTACCATCTAGGAAGAATCACCAGTAATACTTCGGAGTATATGCTTGTAGTACTTTTTCTCTAGATAATATACATTTGTAAATATTTATTTTTATAAAAATGGGACCATGCTGCTTTTTTAAAACCAGTTTTTATTCAGTAACACCCTGACTGTCTTTCTCGGTCATTAAAGAGTGCTCTAAAATACTGTGTTAATGAGTGCATGATGTTATACCATAATTTATTTAACCAGTTCCTATTTTGAGCGGTCTCTCCCTCCAGCTGTTTACTGCTCTACACCGTGCGGTGATAAACCTCCTCAGAGCCAAATACACAAAACCCTCAGTGTTTGTCAGCTAAATTCCTAGATGTTGACTTGCTGGGTCACAGGAAGTATAAAGTTTCTTGAAGAGTCGCATCATTAAAACTTTTATACTGTCCTCACCTTCCCTGGGTATGCTAGTTTTGTAATCTTTGTAAATTTGATCAGTATAAAATGCTGTCCTGTTGACATTTGCATTTCTTGGACTACAAGAGAGGTGGAACACTTTTTACCTCTAGATCTTATTAGACCCTCTTAAAATATTGTGTTGAATTCCCTGTTCACATTCGTTGCTCATATTTTTTTTTTTTCTTTTTACTGGAGTCTGCATCTTTTCTCGTCGACTTGTAAGGACTCCTTTTACATTAGGGATAATTAAACCCTTTCCATAAATTCCAAAAACATCTGTATTCATTAACTGGTAGACCTTTGGGTAGTTTCCACTTTTTGGCTTGTGTGGATAATACCATCCTGTCTACATTTCATGTAACATTCTTGTAGCTCACGATCATACAGATTGTGAGGTTCAAGACCCGAGGTGAAAGAAAGGGGAGGTTGAATTGCTCAAACCTATCTGGAAATCTGCTGACATGAGCACATCAGCAGAGGACGCCTAGGAGAAGACTGCCCCTACCCTTGGCAGTGGCCACGTCCAGTGCAGCAGAAGGCACCACTGATGGGCCAACACCATCAGACTCCGGATCCTCACAAGCGACCTCACTGCGGACCTGCTGGTGCACAAAGGACCCTGTGTCGTCCTCTCTGCTCGGTGCTCTCCAACGGCACTGACTGTGCTTTTGAAATAACCGTTCATATCCAGTCAGGGGTCTTTAACTCAAGGATTCATCCCTAAGTGGGAACATAACAAACCTCATTTTCTATCCCCCACACTCTTAAAAAAAAAAAAATACACTTTATTTTTCAGAGCAGTTTTAGGTTCACAGCAAAATTATGCTCCCCCCAGCCCCCGCCCCCCCCGTTACCAACACCCCCCACCAGAAGGGCGCATGTGTTACAGTCCATGAACCTGTGCATCCCCAGACTCCAATTGGTGAAGGAAGTGCCAGAGTTCATTGCTTCCAACATCCTAGAGCGGTTTCCCTTAAAAATCCTGGGTCCTGGGCGTACAGCCCCCCTCCATGAATGAGCACTCTGCCCTGAGAAGAAGGGAGAGCCCAAGGCTAATGAATGTCCTGAAATGTTGCTTGTCAGGGCGCTGCTGTCTGGGGAGGTAAGTGTGTGTTGAGTTCTTTGCAGTTTTATCACGCTTACGGGTATAGACGCGTGTGACTGCCACCAGGGCCCCGATAAAGACCATTTCTGACACCGAAGGGCCCTTTCAGAGTCAAGCCGTCTCCCCCGCCCCGCCGCCCTAATCCCTGCCACCCACTGATCTGTTCCGGAGCCTTTCGAATTTCAAGATACTGGATCAGGGACTGCAGATCTCTCTGGATGGTGGAATTACGAGTTGTTCTTATGCTAGTCTTCCATCCTTTATTTTTTTTTAAAAAAAAAAAAAAACAAAGTTCAATAGAAGCATTTTCTGCAATCAGATAAAGAATCGAGACTTCTGACCGGAGACAGTACATACATGAGCATCCAGAAGGAGGTTCGCCTGGCGTGGGTCCAGCTCTGCCACCTGCTGGCAAGTCCCTCACCTGCGAGCCTGCTCCCTCCCCTGGAAGATCAGGGTGCTACCTAGCACCTGCCTCTCCACGTTGCAAAGAATCGCATGTATGAAGAGCTGGGATAGAACATGCTCGGGGCACAGTCACTGTCATTTTACAAATAATGAGTTGTACCTGGCGGCCTGGGCTTTGCAGCTGATAGGCAGAAGGAAGCAGGTCCTGCCAGAGTCAGGTAGAAGCCCACTGGGGATTTACTGGAGGCGGGGGGTGCTGTGGCAGGGGTAGAATCGGGGTCAGTGAGTTGGGAAGAGGCTGCCCGCAAGCTGGGGGGTCCCAGGCTCACGGTTTTTGTCCTTTTTCCAGGTGATGGTCGGTATGGCAGTGACGACTCTGAATCCGGTGGGTTTGTGTCCCGAGGAGACCTAGTGCCGGCCTTCCCCTGTTTCCAGGAGAGAGCCACCCGGCCAGCAGCAGAAGGATACAGTGATTTAAGAGAAGCATGAAAATCGGGGTCCCCGGGGAGGTGGCCCCATGGGAGCCTGCTGGCCTGAGAGGTGGAGATCCTTATGGAAAACGAGAAGCGCTTGGCAGATGCCCCAGATAGAAGTGGCTTTGCCCTGTCACACTGGCTTGGGGGTCGCGGGCGTTTGAAAGAGCTTAGCTCGGTGGCGAGAGGCGAGCCAGGTGCCTGGGGTGGTGTCGCGGGGCTGTTGGCCTGGTGCCGCGTCTCTTCACGTCTCCCCCTCTCCCCGCCCTTGCCCAGGAGTGTCGGCCGAGGCCAGCACCATCGCGGGTGTGGCCAGCGCCCTGGCCATGGCCCTGATCGGCGCGGTCTCCAGCTACATCTCCTACCAGCAGAAGAAGTTCTGCTTCAGCATCCAGCGTAAGTGCAACCGCCCCGTGGCGTCCGAACCAAGGGGCCAAGGCCTTTCAAGGGAGAGGGGCAGAAACGGGGGCACGATTTGGGGCCATTCCAGAGCCTGCCCCAGACCGACTCCTGAGTGGGCTTTCCGGGGTGGACAGGTCGAGGCCGGACCCAAGTGTAAACTGGTTGTGTTTCCGTGGGCAGCGCGGGGGACGCTGACGTCTGTGTCTCTCAGAGCGGGAGAGGGCCCGGGCTTGCCATTCGGCCTCAGGCCTCGCCTGCTCACACCGCCGGCCTCCTCGGGAGCTCAGGCAGGGGTCGGGGCTCTGAGAGCCAGCGCGCCGCCGCAACGATGAGGGCTTTCAAGGAGCAGGAAGGCAAGGGGCAGAATGGGGGGGTTGCCCCTCCCACATGCTTCATGTGCAAAAGGTTGCTTTCATTTTATACTGTAGCCGAGCGCGTCTAAGCTGTAAGTCAAACAGTGACAAAGCGAGCCCCATCTTGCCAGCCTGCGGGGACCCGGCGAGGGTGAGCAAGGAGGGCGCCCTCGCCCGTTTCACCAGCATGGCTTTGATGTGTCACTGCTTGCTGACGCTGTCTCTAGGACTGGCGATTTTTAGTTCAAGTGAGGGCCTGGCTCAAGCCTGGTTTTCCTCTTTCCTGAAGCTTAGGAGCATCTCCTCTGAGGCTTCCCCTCCCTGCCCTTTCTCTGGGCCTTTGCCTGGAACCAACAAATGAGCCTGAGCCCCAGAATGCTTAGATGTGGGTAATGCAGAAGTCTCCACCTCTTTGTCCCTCTGGCGATTATATTTGCTTCTCTTACTCTTGTACAGCGTTCTTGACCAGGGCCACCACATACGGTTACACAGGCTGTGCACGGTTCATGTTTCAGTACACAATCTGCACAGCTGTTCATGGTTGCCCCGCTTGAGATCCTATTGACCCACCTTGGACCCACAAGCTTGGCTGTAGAGTGGTGTGAACAGGGAGGTGTCAAGAAGGAGTATGGAACTGGAAGCTGGATTGTCCTTAGAGCTGTCTCTTGTCCTACTTCAAAAGCAAACAGAGTGGCTTAAAATGACAGAATCTATTCTCTCACAGTTCTGGAGGCCAGAAGTCCAAGATCAAGGCATCAGCAGGGTTTGTGCCTTCTGGAGGCTGTAGGGGAGGATCCTTCCTTGCCTCCTCCAGCTTCCGGTGGCTCCGGGTGTCCCTTGGCTGTGGTCCCACCAATCTGATCTTTGCCTCTGGCTTCACATGGCCTTTTCCTGTGTCTGTGTGCCTCCTCCTCGTCTCTTATAAGGACACTTGTCATCACAGGGTCCACCCTAAATCCAGGATGATCTCATCTTGAGATCCTTAATCACACTTGCAAAGATCGTTTTCCAAATAAGGTCACATCCATAGGTGGTAGGGGGCGGAGGACGTGGCCACGTCTCTGGGGGCCACCATTCCTGCAGTACGGCATCATCACCCTAACAGGGAGATGCTCATCATCCGTGCTGATCAAAGCTGGGCAGGGGGCTCATATGCCAGGGCACGGGGCTTGGAGCCATGAGGAGGCATGTTGGGTAACAGAGTTACAGTACGAACGGCTTCCCAGCCACTGCCGAGCGCTGGATGTGGGGTCCCGCCCTGAGACCTCCCCCATCAGCCCCAGGGCCCAGGTTCGAGGGCACCCTGACTTTATCGACAAGGAAACAGAGGCTCAGAGGACTGTTGAAAGAACTGAGTCCAGATGTGCCGGATCCACAGGGGAGCCTGAGGTCGGGACAGGGAGGGCAGAGCAGTGAAGAGACCAGCAGGGGCGGGCACCAAGTGAAGTGAAAATACCTGATTTTCACACTTGTTTTCTAAAACAGGTGTGAGGCTTTGCAAATTGGATTAGCAGGCAAAGCCAAAGAAAACATGAGACTGTGACGGCCTTGGCATATAGAGTTGAACGATTTATGTGATACTTGAGGGAGAATAAACCGAAGAGAGGGGGTGTTGACAGCTGCGAGCTGTGAGCGAGTCTGCGGGAGGACCTGGTTCTGCCACCTGAGGGCAGCCTGGAGGTGGCGGCCAGTCTGCTGGTGGGGGAGGCAGGTGTGCCCCCCTCCTGCTGCAGACTTCACACCACACCTGCTGGCCCCACGCCCCCTCAGCCTCTGGAATCTCACTGTCGCTCCGTCCCCCTCCTTGTCCCCCACTTGCCCCTCCGTCTATCAAGGATGTCCTTGTCGTTGCTGAACCCACGCTGTCCTGAGTCCCTTCCCTGGACACGCTCATGCAAGCATGGTCCTCACACAGAAGGGAACTGAGTGTGGCGTATGCCCCAGATTTGAAGACCTCCCTTCCGTACCCACCCCTGCATTATCAGCAGTCTTCAGAACTTGTCAGTAGTCTCCGCTCCTGTCTCCGAGCCCTCCCGCGTGAGTGGGTTCCCCCTCCCAGCGTTGGTGCCCCGTGCACAGTCCTGCCCTGGGGCCGCACTTCTCCATCAGCACGGCCACAGGCCTCTGCCTGTCCGGGGCCAGGTCTCCCCATCCTCCATCGGGATGGTTCCGTCAGCCTCCCGCCTGCCCCGCTCTCCCCCATACTCCTCTCTGCTCGGAGCGGCTAGAGGGACGGCTCCGCCTGGACCTCGCACGTTCCCCACTGCCTTGCTGGTCCTGGTCTAGACGCTAAGCTTGGCCATTCAAAGCCCTTCCTGGTTTGGCTCCAACCACGCCAGCAGCCCCTGTCCCCAGAAGCCATACTCCCTCCCCGAGCGTGCCCTCCTCTCTCCGCTGGCCCTCTTCTCACCTGGCTGCACTCATCCGCTCATCCTTGGGCCTGGGGCACCCTCCAGGGAAGCCTTCCTGCCCTCCCGCCCATGGGACTCGCTGGATGCTGAGGCTGCGTGCTGCCACAGCGCCCCCTGCCGGCCGGGCCTGGAGCCCGCGGGGCCGCGTTGGGCTGGGTTCCTGCGTCTGTGACCGCCCACCGCCCCCGCGTCGCGCCCGGGACTGGCAGCTCCGTGGGGGACCATGAGTGCTTCATCCACGGATGTGTCCCTGGCACCCAGGTCGGAATCGGGAGGAGCCCCATGGATGTTTGTGGAGCAGCTAAGCCCCCTGAGAAGCTGGGGTCGGGACTTGCCATCCTACCCTTTCTGCCAGGCCTCTGCCCAGAGTGGCCACGGCCAGCACCACATGGAGGTGACAGAAGGCAGAGCAGAACCTGCTCTGCATCCCGTGCACCCGGAAGCCCCAGGGAGACGGGGCGTGGCTGCCGGGGTTGGGCGGGGGGGGGGCTTTGGGGACCCTCTGCTTTCTGTCTCTGCCCTCAGTGACGAAGTCACAGTGTGACAGGGTCAGTGCATCTCGCAGAAAGCCCCTGTGGTCTGTTGCCAGGGGCTAACTTCTTACTCCAGGGTCCTAAGCTTTGTGTCTTATCTTCAGATGCAGCAGAAGGTCAAGGTAATGACATGCTTCGACTTACTCATTTTCCTCTTCTGCTTTGGCCACAATACATCATTGTCCATCCTCCCCACCCGCTGTTCTTGCTCCTCGTCCCCGCCCTCCACCCCGAGCCCTTTCCTGGCCCTCACCGACTTGGCTGTGACCACCACCATCTTTAGCTCACTCTGCTGTCTTCTGTCTCTGGGCCCTGCGCGGCTGGGGTGGGGGGTCCTGTCCGGGAGGCCGAGGCCCGCTGAGTGCTTGCCAGGCTGGCAGGGGGCAGCGATCGGGAGGCTCGGGGGCATCTCCCAGCCCCCGGCCCTCAGGCAGGAACCGCTTCCGCTGGCTCCCTCACAGGCCTTGCCCCACACGGGGGCAGCCACCCCTGCCAGCGAGCAATGCCCACCTTCTTCCTGGGCCCGTCTGGTGTCCACCTTGAGCTCGAAAGCACCAGGGCGGGCAGGCGTCCTTTTCTAGGTGCGGGGAGCCTGGATGTAGCCCCGGGTGGCAGAGGGACTTCGTCTGTGCCTGCTCAGTCATTTGGTTGCTGAGAATCGTGGCCCGATTTTCCCACAGGCCCAAGGGCTCTGATAAGGTTTCCAGCCGTTTGCTTACCCAGGGCTATGACGCGGACTCTGGACTCCCCCTAAGTAGCAGCAGGCTGGGGTCCGCTCGGAGTCCCGGGTGCTCGGTGACCTGAGAGCCGGCAGGCAGAGGAAGCTTTGAGAGTCCCGGAGCCCCTCTTGGAAGTCAGTGGGGGGGGGGGACGCCCATCTAAGGGACCAGAGCAGCTCCCCGGGCGCTGGGCCCTCCGCGGCGTGCGCACAGCGCTTCTTGCCAGCGGCCCGAAGGGGCAGGTGTGGCCGGACGCGGCAGGACGCTTTGCCGGCCTCTCTGCCCTGAAGCCCCTTCTGCCCTCCGCCCCTCTCCACCCCGCCTCTGTCCGTCTCTCGTGCGGCCAGCGCGGCGCTTGGCTCCCTCCACCTCGCTGGACCCTGGGCTGGCATGCGGACCCATGGGTGGTGCTGAGCCTGCTGTCTGGGCCCCCGTCTCCCGGGTGGTGGCACCTGCCCCAGGGGGGTGCGGGGCGGAGGCCTTTGCTGTGCGTCCTCTGAGGACCACGACGAGAACCCCTGGGCTTGGTCAGGGGCCCTTCGGTTCTATGTGCATCACCACCTCTGCTCTTTGCCCTTTGCAGAGGGGCTGAACGCAGACTACGTGAAGGGAGAGAACCTGGAAGCCGTTGTGTGTGAGGAACCCCAAGGTGAGGCCTCACGGGCCCTCGTTTCTTGCTGCAGGGCTGTTAGTCGGTGGGCCCCGCGCTAAGCGGAACGGTGCTCGGGAAGCCCAGAGGCGTCTGTTTCTAGAATGTCCGGCCAGAGCAAGCGGCTGCTGGGGCTCAGGGCTCACTGCACCCTGCCCTTGAGCCAGATTCCAGCTTCCTGACCCCAGGGGCCATGACCAGGGCGGTCTGGTGGTGGGCCGAGCACTTCCGTGCGCTGCGGGGCCTCTACTCCCTGTGGGGGGGAAACCGATGCGGCCCAGACAGACGCCCACCCAGCTGGGGGGAAGCCTTGAAATTAGGCCCGGGACTTTCCGTTTTGAAGACCGCCCAAAGGCAAGAGGGACTCGGCTAAAACAGCCTCTTCTCAGAGCCCTTGCCCCTCCGCCGCCCCCCGTGCCTCTCCCTTCTGCGGGCGGGCACTTTCCGAGGGCCATTGGAGGCCGGGTGAGGGCAGGCAGGAGGAGGCAGGGAGGCCAGGCAGCCGGGCTGTTGTCCCTGGAGCCGAAAGCCGCAGCCGGGCCAGGCCCGTCGCTGTGTCGCGGGGACGGGGACTGCGGGGCTGCACCGCGCGGGCTCCGTGGCCCTGGAGGAGAGCAGAGGGAAGCCGGCCACGGTGGCCAGCCAGCCAGCCCTGCCGGGAGCGTGCCCATTTTACCGACGAGGACAGGCTTCCTCCTGCTCTCCAGGGCGCAGGGTCGCCCCGACTGGGGACAGAGTGGGCGCCAGAGGGGAGGTTGGCCGGGGGGGGCCGAGCCTGTCCCCAGGCCCTGGACAGAAGAGACGGGGCACGGGCTTTCGGGCACCCGCGGGGCCTGGAGCGCGTGTTTGCAGCGGGGCGGGGGGGGGGGGGGGGCGGCGTCCCCGCTGACAGACGCCTCTCTCCCGCCAGTGAAATACTTGACGCTACAGACGCAGGCCGCCGAGCCGCCGCCCCCCGAAGCGCCCCGGATCTGAGGGCCGCGGCGCGTGCCCGGCGCCTCGTTTGGTTTGGACCCGCTTCTCTGACGTCATCGGCTTCTCACTCTAACTTCCGGATGAGCTCGGGGGGTGTGTGTGAGTTTGGTTTCTGTGCCCGCCGTGCCAGAGGCTCTGAAGAGACTTGCTGTGGAGTCCGAGGCCCAGCTCTGGCAGAAAGCCGGCCGTGGGAGCGGGGAGCCCGGGCCGACGGGGCGCGAGGACTGCGATGCTCCGGGGGTAGGAGTTTGAGCCCAGGCGGGTGCGAGGAGCGAACGAGAGAGCATCAGGTAACCACACGCGCACACGCCCTCTCGCACCCGCGCGCGCACACGCACGCCCGCCACCCAGCCTCGACACTGCCGCGCTTCCAGAGAGCTGGTCCAAGTGGGGGCTTTTCATTTATTTCAGTGCAGACATGCATGCCTTGATAGTCCTGCGCTGAGAATTTAGGAACCTTCTGGCCAAGTAGGAAGCTGTGACTCTGGGGCCCGATTGCCCTCTGATTCCACAGGGGACTAGGTGCGGTCTCCTGGCTGACATGCTTAGTTTTTAGGAATCATTTATGCATTGAAATGAGTGTTCCCCTTCTGCCCTGTACGTGTTCTTCTTTTGGTAGCAAAAACTACAGACGTCAAGAACAAGCGGCGGAGCCGGAAGCATGCATGTTTTGTTTTGTTTTGTTTGCTTAAAGTTGTATTTGAGGTGGGAGGGGGATGGGGAAAGGAACGTTTGCTGGGTTTGGTGAAACATGCCTGCCTGCGTGGGTCTGGAAGGATGATTCTGCCTGTCCTGATGAAAAGCCCTTGCGGTGCCACGGTCACTGCGGTAAACACCAGACCCCGGGGACCGGCCCCTCCCCTGGCCCGGAGCTGTCTGGCTTGGGCTAGCCTCCTGGAACGTTCCGTTTGGCCCACGTGTGGTCCTGTCCCTGGGAGCTCCGCTGTCTGAGGCTGAGCCAAAGTCTAGAGCCACCGTCTTCTGATCACCAGTTTGCAGTGCCCAAAAGCACTTGCAGAAGCGGAAGTGAGCAGGAAGGTGGGGTCCTGCGGACACGACCCCACGTGCCTCTGCACGGCAGATGGCCCCGCGTGTTCGGCCTGGGCGTCCGCTGAGCTGGGACGAGGCAAGCCTGGCTTCCTAAGGACACCGTTGGAATCGGAGCTAGACCCCGCCGGTTGTAGACCATACGCCCCGTGTGCTGGTGTCCGCGGCTCTCTGAAAAACCCAGTCGTGCGCAGGAGGCGTCAGTTGGGGTGCGCGTCTGCAGCTGCCCCTGAGAGCCGGTCCCGCGCCGCCTCCACCCTGACGGGCCCCTTCCCCGGCGGGGGGCTCAGCGCACGCAGGCCAGGAGTGTGTGTCGGCGAGGCGGGTGTGGGGCACTGACGAGAGCCCCGGGGCTGTCAGCTCGGCCAGCCTTGTCCCTGCTGCCAAGGAGGGCAAGGGCTGATGGCCGCACCCCTGCTTGGTGCCGGGCAGCTCTGGAGGATTCTTCCTAGGTACCGGGAGCTGGGGAAGGGTCAGGGCGGCGCTCGGCAGCTCACGGGGTGAGGATGGCTGCCCACTGAGGCCCCCCGGGCGTCTCAGAGGAGGAAAAAGGAGGCGGCACTTGGGTGTGGTAACTGACTTCTCTCCCTGCCACGGGCACGTTAGGAGTCCTAGTCACCGTGGCAGCCAGGATGAGGAGTCATGTGGCCTGCGTGTCACTTGGCGTGGCCAGGCACGGCCCGGCACTAGCTGGAGCTATGGAGCTTGCCGACTAGGAGCCCTGAGGTGGGGTGTGCCCCCCCCCCCGCCCCAGTTGTCCACCTGAGCTCGACAGGGAGGCTTCCGTGGTGGTGGAGACCCTGAGCTCCTCCGGCTCTGACGTACAATCAGTGGCCGTGATTGAAGAGACCCCTTCGGCTCTCCCTTAGAAGCCCACAGCCCAGCACCTGGGCCGCTAGTGACTGGACAGGCCGGGAAGGTCACTCCGCCACCTGTTTGCAGAGCTCTTGTCCCTGGGGGCGGGGCGGCGGGCAGGGACTCCTGGGCAGAAGCCTAGGCTCTTGTAACTGTATCTATCTGGAAGTAGCCTTGACCACACTGGGCCTGTCCCAGATGTTAGGGAAGATGGAGTGAACTAGAAGGGCCAATTGAGAATATCCGATCTGTATCTGCTCACCTGGGGGGTGGAGGCTCAGCGTTGGTAACTCTGAACACAGGAGGAAGGAAGCAAGGAAGCTTGGCGGGGAGGGGCACCCTCCTGGCGTGGGACCCAGAGAACAGTGCCAGGCCCGCTGCCTCGGGCACCTGACTCGGGAGTGCTCGTACCCCTTGTCTGAGGAAGAAGCGGAAACTCATCTCAGAATCCCCTGTACTTTTTATGTGCTTGTGTTTAAATGGGAATTGTAAGTGGTCTTGTGTTTGCATTAAACGAAATGGAACCTAACAGATCACTGTATTCTGATGGTGTGAAGGGCCTTCCTTTGTCAAGTGATGCTGGTGTTTTCCTTAAGGTAGTTCATGGTCAGCCTTCCTCCCCTCCTCCCCAGCCCGAGGTGTTTCTCCAGAAGGTTGGAGTTCTCCAGTTCCTTCCGCTGATGAATGGCTCGGTGTCAGGGCCCCTGCGGTACACAGAGCCAGGGCCCGGAGCTGCAGAGGGCCGAGCAGAGGCCTCGGGCTGGCTCAAGAGGGACAGAGGCAGGCTTCACACTCCTGATTCCCCAGCCCAGCGCTCGCCATCATCAAAGAAATCCAGTATCCAGGGTGGAGTCGCGTTGGTGCAGTCGTTTGGGCTGAGCAGGGCCGGGGGTCCCTGCACGCCATCATTCAGGCAGCCGTGTTCCAGGGTGGCCCGTCTGGCAATGAGTGAGCCCTGTCGTCACCTCGCAGCTTGGCTTGCAAACCGAGAACACAGCCAGACCTCTGAGGGAGAGCGGGATGCAGCGGACGTGGGGTTTTCACACTGAGGCAGGTGTCCTGGTGGTGCCATGCCAGCCATGTCCTAAAACAGCACCAAGTCCTCAGACCCACCACGTGAGTCTTCAGTAAAGAAGTCCTGCGTGGCCGGCCAGGGCCTAGCGCAGCGCCCCCGCCACCCCCTGGGCTTGCCGCTGCATGCAGGGGGACAGGGACCCCAGGCTCTTAATGAGAAGGGTGGCGCACAGGGGTCAGTGTGGCCTCATCGCTCCCCCGGAGGCCAGCATTCCTTCCGTACACTTGGGGTGGGGACCCCGGGGCTTCTCCGAAGTCTGTCCTCTTCGGCTCTAGGACTCGAGGCCTGGACGGAGCACCATGCCTCCTCGGAGCTGTAGCTGACTCCGGTAGCCCCAGCCTTTCCCCGTCAACATTTTCTCAGCTTAAGGTTGAGGGGCATTTCGTATTTTAAAGAAGTCTGAGTACTTACCCACCATTTTGGCCAAGACACTCAAGACCTGATTTCTGGCATTTAGGATTTGGTAAATGAGTTAAATCTTGTAAAGGCACTTTATGGGTATTAACTGCGCTTGGCACATAAAATAACAGGTATGGAAGGTTCAGTCATTTTCCCCAAGGGAAAAATTGGAAAAACTTAAAAAAACAAGACCACGGAGCAAACATTTTAATTACAGACTGAAATAATACAGTGTATCAGAGGAGGCAAATACGATACAGTCTTTAAAAATCCGAACCATGAATGTTTTACATTCTAGTACACTTAAATAAAACAAAGAATTGCTTAGGTAACAACCGTATACTTCAAGTTGTGTTAGAAACGGTTGTGTGCTAGGTACACAGGGCAAGGGGCTGTTGTGCTGCTTGTGGATCGGGCAGGGCGGGGG